CTAAACCATTTGACATGTAACAATTCTTGCGTTAACACGAATCCAACAGCTTGATTACATCCAATCCAATTATTTTTTTCATCAACCTCCAACCTATTCTATAATCCAATTAACCTAATCGAGCTACATAACCTAACATTTATCACATTCAACTGTACACAATGTTACATTTAATCATACCTATCATATTCTAACCTATTCTACAATCCAATTAATCTAATCTAAAGCTTCATAACCTATTACATTCAACGTTACACATATGATCATTACGATCAAAAATCATAATTCTTTTCGTCACGTACGTAATGAAAAAAAGAAACCCGTGGCAAATTTGTTAATATTAACAATGAAAAATTATCGGATGGAAGAAAATATTTTCTTTCTACTTACTGACTAAGGTGAGAAAGGGTATGTGCTGTTGAAAATGGGGCGGGCTGCAAGCCTCTTCCGGCCTCGAGACGTCGCTTCCGGTCTGCACCTCTATCACGTGGCCGTCCCTCCGATAGAACGTCATGCACATGAAACCGCTCCGGCTGCGGGCAAGAAGAAGACAGCCGAATAAAAACCAACGCTTCCTAAACGTGAAACGCCCCACCCACGCGAACAATAACAATCCTGTTTACTCTGACAATGTACCGCGATTGTAGCGCGCGTCCGGCTCAACCCGATGCTCTCAAAACACGTGTATTATCCAAAGCTCTTTGCCCCCTCTTTTTCTTTTTTTTTTTTTTTTTCCCCCCTTCGATTGCACCGATTCTTGCACCGTGTTTGCTTTAAAGAGAAAAAAAAAAAAGGAAACACAGAGGGAGGAAAAAAGAGCGAAAACTTGCTATCTTTTTTTTTTTTTTCAATCGGCTTGGACAAACGAAAGACAAACACGCAAGCTTTGGACAAGCTTCGTTTCGACTCTTTCGACACGTTAATCGATGAATATTTTTCCTTATGCTTTTTCAGGATAATTGTAAAAAGGGAATTCCAAGAATTTGGTGAACGAATAATGATGTTCATAGATATACACTATTAGCTAGGTATCTACTGAAGAATGGCGATCATAATTAATTAATTTTTCCACGAATTGTTGCAAAAGTAAGTAGGAAGTACTATAGAAGAACAATATACTCACCAGCCAACCGTGAAATGCGCGACCAACGTGGTCATCATCATCGTTTGAGCAACGCTAGATTGCTTGATGCTGTTGCACAGGATCTTCACGTCTTGATCCTCTTGTCCAGGAACGTACTGGCCATCCAGGGAACCGCTTTCGAATCTCGAGGAACTGGTGTTCAAACTGGTCACGTGCAGGGAAGCGTTCCGAGGATGGAACGTGTAAGATCTGGTGAGGTCGAGGGTGTGCCACGTCAGTCCACCGCTGGAATGGCCGGTCAACCAATTGGGGAATCGGCACTGGCCAGGTGGCGACACTGTAGATAAGCAGAGAATCCGATTTGTTAATTCTGATTGTGCAAGAACTTGATTCCAATTCTTTAGTTTGGATTTAATGGAGGAAATGTGTAAATAAATAATTTTAATTATTTTAATTATCGAGTCAAGTTGGCACACTTTGACGTGGTTTTTGACCATAAACCATCAGTGAAAAATCGATGCTTTTTAGTTAATGTTAGAAGAAAAGATTATTTAATTTAGAAAAATGTAAGATGATTTATTTTATTTTAATTATTATATCAATATATTAATATTTGTTGATAATTAAGCTACAAGATCTTCGAAATGATATTATTCTATCTTATGAACGTTTGTAACAAAAAAAATTTACAATAATAATATTCGAATTGTTTGCTCGAACGAATTTCTTGATCAAAATCAAATATTAATTTTCACATTGTTTGCGATGGAAGACGAATTTTCTTCATTATCAAAACTAATCACCTTTCCATCCTATTTCAATCTGCCTCCACTGATCGAACACTGAAGTTGGACAGAGTTGCTCCTTCGTTTTTAAAACGTATTTAGAATAAGAGGGCTTCGCGATTTCTGATTGTTCAACCTCTCTGATTGTTCGTTCGTTCTCTCTCTCTCTCTTTCTCACGTTTTTTTACTCCGTGTCACTTAAACGGTTCGTTTCAGCCGGTGCCGATGGAATATTTGAGAATGGGACGGGCGGACATTGGGTAATCGACTCGACCTTCGAATCGTTGCTTTAATTCCATTTCATCGAGCTCGATCGTCTCAGGTAGATGGAATCTAAGAGCCTCGGGGAGCTAAGAAGCGGAATTATCCTGATAATATTCAAGACGTGGCCCAGTACATTCTTTAAACGAATCCTGATTCTATTCCCTGAATGACTATGAATAATATATAAATATCGATGCATTTTTAATTAATTTTTAAATACGATAATATAAAATAATCGTAACAATATACATATGCAATACGTATAAAATAAATAAATATATATATATATAATAATTCTTCATAAAATGGTATATTCACTCGTAATAAGGATAATTATAAAATTTAAAAATTATAATTTCATATTACTCGCAGAGAAGCATAACACTACCAGCGATGGCGATACTAGCGCCACGTGACTTCTAAGCAACTTATTAAATTCGCTGACACTAGCGCCACACCTAGCGTCTCTGTCTTTATACGAGAGAATAAATGAAAGTCTTCAACTTGTAATAACATTTGATTTCGCATTTTTTCAAACGCTTATTATTACACTTGCTTCTTATTTTCTCAAACTTTTTAAACACGTTTCGAACGATAGGCAGACCTGGTAGGTGAAAGGAAAGAAGAGATCAGGGCTGGTATAGAAGAGACGATCTTCGAAAAATTTCGCAGTCAACCCGCGCCGGACCATAAAGTTCTCGGCGTAGCGAAACGACAACCGATAAAACGTAGGTATTCGATAGCGAAACAGAATCGTTCGAGTGTACCCACCCCCCTACCCCCCTCTTCAACGCGTTCCACTTCCGGCTGGAAGGGAGGGAGGGAGGGGGGTGTGTGTGTGTGTGTGTGCAAAATCCTCCCTCCCTGGTGAGAAGGAGCGCCAGCCAGCAGGGCTTCGATAGTGTCGGGACACCGATGGAAAAGGTTGACGGAGGAAAATGGATAACAAAGAGGGAGCGAGCATCCGTAAAGAGGGAGGAAGAGGGAGCGCGGATATATAGGCTGATGGATAGATGGAAAAGAGAAGCGAGATAGGATGAGACAAAGAGGGGAAGAGGTGGGGAATGGCCAGGTTGTAATGACGTGAGGATAAAAGACGTGATGTAAAAAGTGGAGGGGGGGATGCTCGAAGAGAAGACGTGATATTGTAAAGTGGAGGTGAAATTGATGGAGGTTTTTGAAATATTTTGATGTATAGTATAGATTTGATTATTGGAATATTCTTGTTTTTACTTCATCATGCATCCTACTTTTCAAATGTTTCTTTTATTATTTATACGCTATTTGTTCCATCTTTTTGGATTGTGACAATCTTATGAAAATATTATATGATAATAAACGAAATTTAATTTTCTTTATTTATTCAAACGGCGATAATTATTTTGCAAAAAATTTATTTATTTTCATTGCTGTTGCGTGAATATTATCATTTATTAATCAGGCAAAATCATAATATAATACAATAATAACGCATAAACAAATTATATATATGAAATAATTACGAAATAAATAACATCTGGTTGCTTCAAAAAATATATATTTCAAACAATACACTCGCGTCTGAATGCTGCTACTTGTTCACTTGTTCAAGCTAGGGAAGAGAGAAACAGATAGAAGATTGACACAGTGTACGTTTCGGCCATTTTTATGGCACGTAAAAGCATTGTTGCCCGGCCTTGGAAAAGAATGGAAATAATTCAACCTTCCCCATCGATAAGTCCACGCGGGACATGGACGAGATACAAATTCCGCGATCGTAAAAATCGTATGGCATTTCCCTTGTTTTACTTGTTGTCGTCCCTTTTATCTTCTCGTGGTATCAACCCTATCTTTCTCTCTTTTCCTCCTCGATTTCGCACGTACATTCCGGCACAAAAATCGTAAAACATTCTTTCTCGTTAATAAAATTTCATTGCTTGTCTCTGCAATTTAAATCATAAGCGTTATCATGGTCGCATTTTATGAATCGTGGATAACGAAATAAGGTCTAATAACGTGATTCCTTGATCATTAGATTTTGGGCCAAGATTTTTTGATATTTTTAAGACACCTCTTCTATCCACTCTGGCATCTAGAATTTTTAAATATATCGATATACAGAGAAATTTTATACTCTTCCATATTTCTTAATTTTTCCTCAGTTTCGAATTCCCAGAATAACGCCGAATCGTCCACTTTTGAGCGTGCACGTACGCGCCCCTTTTCCACCCCCCCCCCCCGAATTCTGTCCTCGGTTATTCCCTCCTCCGTGTATTGCCAATCTGCATTTTAACGATATCGATAAAAAGAAAATCTGGCTGAAAGTTGAATTTGAACTGAACGATGCAAAAAGGTCGTGGGGATGGTGTTGCGATTGATTTCTAATATTCCAAGCTCTCTCCAAGTTTCTCTCGTCAATAACGAAGCTCGAGGGTCGACGAACGTTCGCGCCAGGCGGACGACTTAAATTCACTTACTTGGAACTTTTAACGAAATCGGTAATTGTGTTTGACTGCGAAGAGAAATCTTTCCACCTTTCCGTTAATTCCGTTAATCGCCGGGTTAAAAGTTTCCAAGATGATGTTTGAGCCGGTCGTTTAATTTCATTTGCATCAATGGGACACAACGCGTATACAAATATTGAGATTCGTAGTTTTTGTCGACTCACTATTAGATTATTGTATTATTGAATTAATTTAAGTGAAAAATGCCCCCAAAACTTAACCACAATCTCAAGACCGCATCTTTAATCCAAGGAACCAACCAACCAATCGATTGATTTTATTTGTCCATAGTAGACATACTCGCCAAATATTATAGCTTACAGGCGGAAATTTCGGAGCACGTTCGTTCGATTAACGAGAAGGTTCACCGCCCGTAATTGCCTATTCGAGGAGAGGGGTTGCCTGGTTGAGGCACTCCTTACTCCAAGACATCCTCCACCCTCCCTGTGTCGAGCTCCCTTTCTGCCCGTTAAACCGCACGTTTCGAGCAGTTATGAAAACGCAGTCGAGTAATTTTCCCGGGGTATTGACTCTGGCTGTGGAAGAGTCCAGGCTAATTGAACAAACTTTCGAGTCGGCCTGTGGGTGCAGTTAAAGGTACTCGACGGCGTGGATCGTGGAAAGAAGAGGAGGTGGCGGGGGAGGAGGTGATGGAAGGAATGAGACGTGGCTGGAGGGAAAAGCGGAGGAGGGAAAAAGATTTAATGTTAATCCATTTTCCGGGGGCTCGAGTTCTCGACCTTCTCTTCCCGTTGCTCTCTTTTCGTTTCTCGAGCCCCACGAGGATCGAGACATTAACGCTGTAACGACTCGGGGCTCGCAGAAGCATGATACGTCGAACGAATTGATAAAATTTTGTTCTTGTCACGTTTGGAAGGGAAATATAATGATTGGAGTATTTTGAGAAATAAGAAATGCTAGTAGTTAATAGTCACGTGGCGCTAGTGTCGCTGGTTACACTGTTATAATGAATATATAAAATTGGTCTTAAGTCTTAACTACATTTAATATTCATGCAATAGAGCGAGTAATTTAGAGAAATTTTCAATGACTGGTTATTTTCAAATTTCACGTCAAGAGATAGTAAGTAATTTAATTAATATTGGGTAGTAGTAGTTAATAGCCACGTGGCGCTAGTTTCGCGTTATAAGTGTTAAGAATCGTGAAGAATTTAAAAATAATATCGTTTCATGAGATAGATATACTCATTTATGTATTCAATTATATATAACAATTACGAGATTTTTAAAAATAATTATGAAAATTAATTCGTCTGAAAAATGTCTGTTAAAATTAATCCATTCGATTAATGTTTAATTTTACTTTGTTTCATTTATAAAACTATTCATAGAAGAACTCAAATTCCAATTTGTCAATGTTCTTGCATATTAATCATTTGTTGCAAAATAACTAAACTAATTAATAAAAATTTCAAATATTTTGAGATTTTTATAAAAAACTTTAAAAGATCAAATTGTTAGAAAATTGATTTTAACCATAATTCGATCAAAATATAAATTTTGAATTATTGCAGCAAAAAATAACAATTGATTTTTCTCAACCAACTCGATAAATGTAATAAATGTAAATATTTTGAATTACGTCACTGTTGCAACAAATAACCGACATCTCTTTGATTAATGATTGGGATACGCTTGATCTTATTACCAGTGTCGCCCTCTATCTCTACTTTCTCACTCCAGCACTACTCTCTCTCTCTCTCC